ATCCTGGTGGAGCCTGCTGCCATGTAGGATCATAGACATCAATCCACTCACTTATGATTTGTTTGTCTTTTTTAAGCCATTTCCTGGTCAAAACCTTTTTACACACCACTAACAAAAACCTCAACAGGTATTTATCTATTTTCTAGATCACCAAGATATGGGATTTTAAAATAAAAAAAGAAATTTGTAAACAAGAATTTATCCAATTTAAAATAATGAAATTGAGTCTCTTGGATGATGCAGGGTGCTGAATGTGCAATGAAAACTATGCTACTCTGGTTCACATGCTGTGGAGCTGCCCAAATGTGCAGATGTTTTGGTTCACTATCCCTGACTACATTCAAACAATTATTGGCAAAGATGTCTCTTTCACTCCTGCCTTGTACATTTATGTCACCCTGAGGCAGACTGGGTTTAGCTCTCATGCTGGGGTGCAAGCTCATTGTTATGAATTGGAAAGCCTCCTTCTGGTACATCCAGCTGGTTAACTAGCTGCATTAGAAAATGTATCATTCAGGTTATTCAACAAGGTCTCGAAGTGGAATTTGTGGCTATTTATTTTATGTTGCACCTTCTTTTCATTTCTTTCATTTTATATTCATAGTTATTTAGATTATTTTAAATGCATTCACATAAAGTATTTTGACTTCTTGTCTTACACAGCTATATATTTTATTTATCCATTCAGTGTTTTATAGTATTTTGTCTGCTGGAGTACAGAAGGGAGGGGAGCTTGTCATTAACCTTCCACTCTCATTCTTCCAGGGTTATTGTGAGATTGCCCTCTGCTTCCCATCTTACTTTCATAAGGATGGTCTGTTTTTTAAACAATAATACCAACAAATCTCTGACTGGAAAATAAGTGATCCTGATTCTGTAAATGAAAGTTGTCTTCAACCACCTTCATGAGAACGTTGTGATATGTGATTATAAGTCTGTATCAAGTTTAACAGTAGAAATTTTGTTTTGTTTGTTTACACCGCACAGAGCTGACTGTAAACAGGAAGAGGCAGCACTCTACACACACACACACACACACACACACACACACACTGATGTGGGTCATATTTAATCCTACAAATCTGCTCATATGTTAAATAACTGAATGTGTGTGTGTGTGTGTGTGTGTTTAGGATATCTGCTGCTGATGTTTATTTCCTCATTTCCTCAACCAGATTCCAGTCACTAAAATAGCATTTTTGTGTTTATCTCTTATTGCCACTTCCTGGAAAGATGGCAGGATGGCGCCGTTCTGGTGGCATCCTGCAGCTCACAAAACTTTCTGTGTATTGTGTGTTTGCCTTGTTGACTTTTTTGTACTTCAGTTTGTTAATTTTATCAATGAAGATGGACAGCATGCTGTATGATAATATTTTTTGATACCAGTATCAATACTTTGACTTAAATAATAATAATAATAACAACAATAATAATAATAATAATAATAATAATAAAGAAAAAGACATTACACATTATGGTACAGTTACTCAGCTGTTCAAAGACCTGGGAGAAAAGAAACTGATCTGTGCACTCGACAATATAAATAAAACAATAAGTGGCAATAGGCCACTGTAGCATCTAGTCTGCCTAAACTAAAGAAATGACTGTGTGGGTGATGACGTTTATGGTACTGGTAAATATTGGCAGAGTGAGACCTCTTACTCTTACTCAGTAAACCGAGCAGAACATACATAATAAAAATGACACAGTCAATGATGACACAAGAGGTCTAAAAGTCTAAATTCATAGGAAAGTGACTGATCTAATATTATTCCTAAATATGAGACAATTTCAGCTCCTTTTGAAGACACTTTGAACGTATTTGTTCATGACTTGTTACATATAATCCAGTCTCACACTCTCTACATTCAACCACCACTGGCTCTCAGATGGGGCAGGCAGACAGGAGTCTGTGGTCTGAGTGTCCTGGGAGAAATTTGGCCTTGTGGGCCAGGTATGGTTAGAGTCTAGGATCAGGTCTTACCTCTGTTGTAGAAGTATTTCAGATAGTATTTGGCTCCGAGGTCGAAGTGTTCGATGTCGTAGTTTTTCACCAGGTTTTGAGGGAACAGATTTTCACTGCAGACTTCCAAGACAGACAGGCCAGCGTTGGAGCAGGTTCTGTTGAACACTGACTGGGTTCCTGGGGTGCTGTTGGCCCTGGTCAGGCCCAGCTTATTTTCTGGTTCTCCTCCAGTCTCGTTAATGAAGAACGGACAGCTGAGCACCAGACCGCCATCTTCGTCACTCCTGAACGTGTTTGCTGTGACGTCCACCGCGGGATCAGCAGCTTCCTGCCGTGATGACCCTGCCCAGGCACCAGTAGAGGTGGTCTTCCTGTGTCTGAGGTTTGTTTGGGGGTCGGAAGACTCGCTGATGTTGAAGAAGATGCTCTGAACGTCATAATGAGAGAAACTGAACCTGACCTCCTGCTGCTGATCCCTGACCCCTCTTGGACTTCTCAGTCTGCTAAAGAGGGACGCCTCTGTCTGCTGAGGTCTGTGTCCTGCTACATAGACCATTTCCCCACGGGCAATCTGAGCTGCAGTCTGCAGGCTGGATGATGGCAAGGCATTGAGGTATGAAGGTTCAGGGAGAGGTGGCGGTGCACTCTGACCAGGTTGGTCAAGAGTCGAGGTGCTGCCATACTCTCGACTCAGACTGGCTTGTGTGTGCGGGTTGATGGCTGTAGGATCCAGATCTTCGATGTCACTGATGGTCCCCTCGCTGTTACTCCTCTTCATCCTCCTGCTGGGTGAGTGACTCAGGAGCTCCCAGAAGGGGTATCTGGTCTCTAATCTACTCTGTTGAGGTCCTTTCAGGAAGTTCTGGACCAGATTGTCATATCTAGGGGGGGGCTGAGCATCCCAGACCTCCCTCCTTTGAGGCCAGTCAGACACTCGAGCCCGGACCCCCATCTTTGGTACAGCTGGAGCCCCTTGAATCACCGGAGGTCCCATAATCCTGATCCACAAGACCTGACACAGGAAAAGTCCTGAAGGGTCTAAAGTCAGTGAATGCAAAGAGGACTCTTTATCTGCATGGACCTGAAATACACAAAATAAATAAATGAAAGTGTCATGGAGCTCAATCAGCTGTTTACCTGTTGATGAGTCATTGAGTCTTAACAGCCAGTCACAGCTCTCCCCCTGTCTGTCAGATATCAACAGAACTCTATCAGGCAGAACATAGTCGCTCTGGTTCAGCCAATCATTACACTGGAGAGAGAAGCCAGACGACACACCCCGTGAACTCCCACCTAACACCCCCCCACACACACACACACACACACACACACACAAACTTACTGCAATGCAGCCTCACACAGGGTTGGATACCGAATCATGGCACCAGTTCCTGTACGGTGGTATCTACTGGACCGAATCATGACGCAGGTGTGCGTGCCTGCTTTCAGTAGCAGAGCTGTCTCTGCTGCCGATGGTACAGGAAACAGAGGACTCACCACACTAAGCCATCACTAGTAAACATTTGTTTCCACAATATCCAAAAATAGAGAAAAAATATTTCATCTGGGGGACTGTGTAACACTATTGTACTAGCTAATCAATCAGCACTGATCAGTTATATTAGTAAATCATTAGTATTATTTCATTCATCTACAGAGACTCTGTACAGTGTATGGTCTCAGACAATCTGAAGTTTGTCTCTACTGTTGGAGCAGCTGATAAGTGCACAGCTTTTTCCTCATTTTATAGACGATGTAAAAGAAACGTCACACAGAAGGTAAAGAGAAAAATGTTCACTTCTGAGGACAGCTTGCATTCAAACCCACTCTAGAGGCCCCCCGCACAGTGATGGAGACGGTTTACTTCCTTTACTTCCACAAATTCATGTACACTTTAAACTACTAACAGTTAATATATTGTTCCATTTCAAGTTTGTTTGCCTTTGCAATAAAGAAAGTCGTTCTTTAATTCTTCTTTTTTAACAAAACATTTGGTTCATTCCGTTTATTCCCTGCGATGCTGCATCCAGTTCTCCCTGTATACAGCCATGATATCATCTAGGGGTGTAAGAAAATAGAGCAGGTCTAGACCGAACTCCTTTTAACATTTACAGAGACCCAACAGTACCACCATGAGCAAGAACTTGGCGACGGGGGCAAGGAAAAACTGCCTTTTAACAGGCAGAAA